CCTAGGCTGGCCGGGGGCTGGTATATCTGAATTATGTCCTACAGCCCTAAGGACAAGAATTCTGTCTGTAGGTTATAGACGGCATTCACACTGGAAGCTACCCCTTTTATTCATGTGTCACAGAGTAATTTACACCTACCAGCTAGGATATTTTCTTGGGTTTTTAGGCTGACCTTGTTATTTTTCATCCAAATCATGTTACTTTTGAAAGTGAAAGGAGTGCTATTAATAATTACACTGGGACATCAGGCATAAATAAGCTACACCAATCACATCATGATGTATCCTCATTGTAGTTATTATGTTTGTAAAACTAAACTGTAATGAGGCATTTGGAGGGTTTTATTGTGATTTCCTTGATACCTAAAATTGTAGTGTTAAAAAGACGGCACATCTCTGAATGCAAGAAGCAAAGTGCTTACAGTACCAAACAGTCCTTCCTCTCGGCCACTCTGTTCCTAAATCTTACCTCTATTGTTGAACTGGTCACAAGATATTGCAATTATTGGTTTATGCCTCCATCTCCTTTGCTATACTCAAGCTAGGTAAGATCTGGGACTAGTGCATTGCTTGTGGCCTGGAAGAGAATCAAGGAGTATTTTTTGAATGGGGATGATTTGAAGAAATTGAAAAGAATAGAATATTTTTAGGAACTTTTTTTTAGGCGCATTAATAAAGATAGAATTATTTGTGCAAGAGATATGGTATGTTACATGTAGTGTATACATATACTAACATGGCACCATGCAGCATGCTACTATAACTGTGCAATTCATAAGATAACTTGGGGTATCTGGATTGAAGGAACAAATTGGTACAATGGTTAAGAGGATCAACTCTGGAGAAGAACTGTTGAAGTCTGAATCTAGACTTTGCCACTTACTAGCTATGTGACTGGAAAAACTAGCCTCTCTGTGAATGTTTCTATCTGTAAAAAGGAAAGTAATAGTACTTCTCTCATGGAGTTATAAAACATAAATGTATTGTTTCACATAAGGGGCTTAAAACAGTGCCAAATTATTGTAAACACTCAAGAGTTGGCTATTGTTTTGTTGTTATAATAATAGTAATTGTAATAATTATTACTACTACCAGGTAGGCCAAAGAATTCACATGGGAGAAGACTACTGACTTAAATTGAAATCTATAGGTCTGACTTCGAATATTAAAGACTATGAAATAAATACGAAGGGTATTGATAATCTCTTATCTTTACTTCCTATTCTCCTTTCCAACTTTCAAAGAGTAGAAATGTGTTTAAAATATTTCCACTTATATCTGTGAAGGTAGGAAATAAATTTTCTTTTCTTTAACCTTTATTCCCTTCCTTAGGTGGGACTAGAACTGTTTCATTTAAACATGGGGAAAGTTTATGTACATAATGAAAAATAACAACTGAATTTCCCGAAGATTTATGGATTAATTAAGAAGAGTCACTTAATGCGCAGAAACAAAATATAAATATCATTTTTAAAGTGTATGTATGAAAATGATTTAAATGTGTGGTGTTTTCTCAAATGCTCCATGCTAAAAAATATTTTATAAACTGTACCTTAAGAGCCTCCTACATAAAATTATTAAAAGTAGATTATGGCTTATTTCAGTGTTTACAAAGAGAACTTCTAACCTCTTAAAGGGATTTTTAAGCACCATCTCTCTGATATTTGATATTATGTTTTATAGTGTGTCTTTAGGAAATTTTAAATGTTTCCACTCAAAGCCAAGTGAACTGATACACAATATTGATGAATTCTACAATATAGTAGACAGGTAACTGGCTTTTCTTTAGTCTGAAGAGACTTATTGCTGATGGTCTTAAGCTGTTGTATCATATGCTACTACGTTTCCAGACCATATACTGCTATTCTTTAGACTCTACCTCAGAAATAGGCATATTGTTGTGTTATCATTTTAATTTCCTATCTAAATATGATACAATGAGTCTTTCCAAGGAAAGGATAAAACTTCCACATATTATATTATATACATCACCACCCACTGTATTATTTATGTTCACAGCCACTACTGTCCTTTATCAGACGTTGGAATACCATGTGTGCATGTATATGTGTGTTTGTGAATATATATATCATACTTTCTTATATGTGAATCAGGCATGTTTTCTTTTTCAAAAATCCACTTACTATTTTTGCTAGTTGTTCTATTTGCTCCCCCTAAAAGCTGACACGCAGAGCAGGTGTGAAATGGAGAGATCAGCCATTTCCAAAGGGCATGGCAGCAGCTGGGAAGATTGAGTTTCTTACACTTTATACCTTGTGATGTTGGTTTTTAAGCTACTGAGCTACTTTATCTGAAAACATATCTTGTTCTATCCATTTTCACGTTAGCCGGTGAATTAAGGTATGTATTATCATTCTCTTAATATATAATCCGTATTTTATTTCCCATGAAATAGAATGAAGGGAACGTTTTCTGTGCTAGGAAGAGTTAATAAATACAGAAGATCAAATTAATTGCCAAGAGGAATGGAGAGAAAGGATTGTTTCTCCCTTCCCCACAAGTGCCAAGCTCCAAATCCACTGCACTGCTCCGTCTTGTCTCCACATTTCTTTGTCTCTTTCTACGTTGTCTTCGGCAGTTTACTAAAACATCCTGGCTTTGTTTTGATTAAGTTTATTCATTTTAAAATCAGGCCTCAGAGTATCTTGTCCACATTTCAGGAACAGGATAGGAAGAAGACATCACTGCAATTCAATTCTATCCACGAGTACTGACTGAGGATTCCTACAAACCAGACCTTGTGAGGAAGAAGAAAGCATTGTCTGTGTCCTGAACAAGCAGTAGTCCAGTTAGGATAATTAGTGAAATGCTTAGTGCATGCAAGAAGATGAGTGTCAAAAGAGATCTGAAAATGGAGGGATCCCACCAACTGAAATAGTAGGAGACTTCAAAAGGGTAGGGACTTGAGTTGTACATAGAAAAGTGTGCAGAGTTGGATAGGAAAAGAGGGGTAAAGATAACTGAAAGTGACCTCTAGACAGAGGGGTGCTCATGAGAACAGATGAGCATGGCATGTTCTAGGGCCAATGTGACTTGCTTGACTGACAGAGAACTTGAGACAGAGAGCAGTGGGAAATAAGGCTGCATAGTTTAGGTGGGGTGATAAGAAGGATGATGCACTAATTCTAACGAAGGTCAGTTACTTAATTAAGCATTGAAATATGCTGCAAATTCATATCTTAGAGGCATATCAGCCAAATAAAAATGATTTCTCTGGGCCGGCCCGTGGCTTAGTGGTTAAGTGTGCCCACTCTGCTACTGGCGACCCGGGTTGGGATCCCGGCACGCACCGACACACCACTTCTCCGGCCATGCTGAGGCCGTGTCCCACGTACACCAACTAGAAGGATGTACAACTATGACATACAGCTATCTACTGGGGCTTTGGGGGGAAAAAAAGGAGGAAGATTGGCAATAGATGTTAGCTCAGAGCCAGTCTTCCTCAGCAAAAAGAGGAGGATTAGCACAGATGTTAGCTCAGGGCTGATCTTCCTCACAAAAAAAAAAAAAAATGATTTCTCTGTAATCCACTATTGATTTACCCATGCCCCTCTTTGCTTTATAATCATGAATGTAAAGAATTGGATACATTAGGAAAAGACTTAGGGAATTTTTCCTTAAATTTTCACATAATATATTGTTTCATATTTGAAAGGTGAAGGTAATATGTATGCATTTAACAAATATAGAAATGACACAAAATAAAAATGCTGAACTTTTTAAAGAGTTGTTTGTTTAATAAGGTTTTAACACACTGCAATAATGACATTTCTTAGAAAACGTGATCATTCAAAGCTAGGCTGAAAATCTACTGAAAATTTAATTTGCTTTTTAATGAGATTTAGGTCAAGTTATGGAAGCATACTAGATTAATGACCAAATCTATTTTTAAAAGATGAAAAGTAAATTATGTTGTCATGATTTTTATTATGAATTATTTCTGAAAATAGAAAAAAATAAGCAAATTAATTTAATCAAGTAAATGAAAGTAACTTTTTTAGCTGTTCTCTTCATGTAGGCATACCATTGTGGAGGTGCTGGAGGAGCGTGGGCTGTCACGTCTCTCTCATACCTTGCTGCAGAATCAGTCGATCCTATTCTTCAGTTCTGCAAGAACTAGCTAAGACAGGATTCAAATAACAAAAGACAATCCTTATTGCTTAGTTCAATTCTTACATTCACTCGGTGAAAATTTGAAAGAAAAGTCACAGATCATGATAGAAATCAGTAGATGAGCTGGCCCTGGAGATGCCAGCCCTCCTGCCTGTATCTTTACTAGGTCTCCTGCTAATTTCTTATTGTTTTGTTTGCTTTTTTGATTTATTTTTATGCAAAATGTAAGCCTAAGGAAGAAAACAACAGTCCCGGTGATACAAAATAATATTCATGACTGAAAAAAATTATTAAGAAAGTACCATGTATGCTATTAGGGAAAAATGAAGTATTTTATTTATTTCCCCACATTTGGTTTGAATATTTTTACGTTTTCCATTTAACCAGCAGACTGGTTTAAGATGACAAATAAAAGATGATCCTATTTGTCTCACAAAATAGTGACATGTGTATATATTTATATATATTCTTTGAAATAATTCGTTATCAAAATATTGGAGTTCACCAGGGAAACACGATTGCATTAACCCAATGCTCTTAAATATTGAGGTGTGAATGTCATCTCATTGACTCATTTCCTCTTACACTGAAAAATATGTTGAGATATTTATGGCATATACAGATGTGATTTTTTAAGATAGTTGATTTTGGTACTTACATTTGCTGGACTTATCAATTAATTTTTAGAATTTTGTTTCTAATAGTCAGAACCCCAGCAAGATAAAGGTGGTGGTAATTAAATCACATTTCTTACCCACTATAGGAAACAGATGTTTAATGCAGTTCTCCTTGCTTGTTCTCATGCCATACCCTCTTTCGGCCCTTAACCAATACTTGGGAAGACACGGTGAGGGCAGCCATGCTTATAAATACTACCCTTGCTGTGATGATTCACAGTCGAATCTTTATAAACTAGGGCCTTCTGGTTCTTCCTGAGATCCACTTTTTTGTTCAACATAGTGATGTGACCAAAATGGAGCGCAAACATCTACCTCTCCACTTGGCCATAGTTTCATAAGTTCTCACGACTTTATTTCAAATTCTTTCTAAGTAATGTTTGGAAAGTCAGTTAAATTGCACGCAGAAAAATACACAATTCAGTATTTTAAATCCTCTGAAACTTCTGCTGTCATATTACAAATATGCATGGGAAGGTTTAGTAAGTTAATGTTGCCAAAAGTCAAATAAAAAAGATAAAAGAAGTTGCATTCTTTTACATACAAGAGAATAAGTACAGTTCGGGCACCTGTGTTCATAAAGTAATGTAGTGTTCTTTGCATTAAGAAGACATGGCATATTGACTGAAACTCTTAAAGGTAGAATGCAAAAACCAAAACGTTAAGAACTGAAGAAATGCTAACCTTAACTCCATTGTAATTTAGACCTGTCAACAAAATTATCAGGACAGCAATTTTAAAGATAATATTCTAGGTATGGCCAACAGTGTTCCACTTGTGTTTAATGAAAATGTGCTTTCTCAAACAATCAAATATTTGCCCTGAGTTCTACTTCAGGATATTTGTCTTTGCTCAACTAAAAAGTTAAAGTCAAGCATTCAGTTTCAATGGGACTTGAGACAAAGATGCAATTAGGGGATTTGGAAATAGTTGTATACCTAATGAAAATTAAGGAAATCATTTACTACCACATGAAAGTCAGTTTAAATGCTCCATTCTCATTTTGTCTTCCCATAAATGCTTGTTTCTTAGAAGTGTAGGATGATACATGCCACTTTTACACATTAAATTTACCTTTATAGGTAAATACGTAGATTACTTTTTCTCTCTGGAAATCCATGTTACATGCTCTATGAAAGAAGTTCCTATGAAAAAGGAATCACCCAAATGGGCTCCCTCAATGTGACTCTCTTCCATATTCCTGGTAACTATGTACCTATGCCTCCTCCCTGAGAACTAGAAATTCAGGGTATCAAAGGAAGTGCTCTGCCATAGAACAGAGCACAGGGTAGTCATTCATTAAATGGTTGTTGAAATCTATTGTATAAGAATCTTTGCATTACCTTTACGTGACTAAAATGATTAGTTCCATTATTTCACATACTTAGCCATAGTAACAACAGCAGCCAAAGTCACTGCTCTACTCAGTATTCATTTCTCCATCAGTCGATTTCCACGTCCACATATTTGCCTACTTAAAATGGTGAGTTATCATCTAACAACCTGTTAATTATATAATAAATATCACAAATGGTTGTTTGTTCTCTAAAGGCAGCTTGGGGAACAATTTATTGTCTTATAATGAGAAAAGTTTAAAAATTTGTTTGAGGACAAAAAGTACTACCAAGTAGAATAGTTTGTTTGGAAATCTTTTTTAATTGTTATTATCATTTAATGCTTTTTGCTTTACAGGTACAAATTCATTCTGGATCAGTGCCTGTGGAACTTTTAATTTAAATTTTCAACTCTGAATAACAGTTGACATTGAAATTGTTCAGCTGTGTTATACAGTCTCCTTTTACAAGAGAAAAACATTGCTTACACACAGGCCACCCACAAAATTTTGCAGAATTGAAAGATCACCTCCCAATTGTTTCAGTCTTTGCCGGATTTGGCTTACGAATGTCCTCACTTTGTAGGTAGAAAGCAGGTAAAAGGTATGTATGTTTATAAAGTATTATTCAAGCAAACAATGTGTTTCTTGAATTTCAGTTTACACATTTCAATATACACAGGTGTTGTTCTTAAAAATATGAAATCAAAGTTGAAAGATTTGATCTATAAAATGTGCTGATAAATGATACTGCGGTAAATGCAAATTTCATGGTCAATACTAAAAGACCAAAAAAGGTCCTCTGCCATTGTCCATGTTTTATCTATTTTTAAAAACCATAGGGGGAAAAATACTCTCAGGGGAAAAAAAAATTGAAGCTTTACTGCAAAAGAAATGAATGCAAGAAATGGCACTTTAAGAGATGTGAAGAGACGTGAAGCATTGCAACTTCATAGCCTGCTAAGGAGCAACAGCTGTACCTAATTTCAACTTGACGTGCTTCAGATCTCATATTCATATAGGTATTTAATGATCCAAACATAATGGTCCTATATAGAATAATTACTTATATGAAGGAGCAAACTTCATACGCATTCCTTTTTAAATGATCCTTCAAGAGAAAAACTGCACTGGCTCTTTGAACAATGAATAGTCTCTTTCACCATTCCAAATGTTTGGGGCTAAATAGCTTATCTTTTAAGAGAGAATAATAATACTGCTGAGGTTACTTCTTTTTGACAAACTCTTTTTGTCTTCCCCCTTCCCAGGATAGCCAGTACAACGACAAAAGGTAGAACGCCAAGCCGATCATTAAGTCATACTGGTAGATGGTTATAAGAAATATCAGAAACAAAAGGAAATAAGGTATTCTGGAGTTGGTGTATTTTGAAAGCAGAGATTCATTGCTTTGAGCTTGACTTCCCTGGGCAGGGAGACTAGTAGAAGCAGAGCCCTCAGATTGCTTGTCACCTGAAGAGGACAGTGATTGCCTAGAGTTTATTAATCCTTCATTTTTATGCCTTGCCTCTTCCATGTTCTCGAAATCTTCACTGATTAAAATCATTGGCCCTGGAGATTTTTCCACACTACATTCTCCTTGTTGGAAAATCTGGCCTATGCATCTTTCTCTCCTACTGCCTGATGTCACTGTTTCTGAACTGGAAACTTCCTCAGGTATAGACCCACGATGAGGGTGCTTTTCAATACCCTGGTTTTCATTTGTTGGATTACAATTATATTCTGATTTACTAGAAATAGATTGGAGAGTCATGGTAGTAATTGTATTCTCTACAGCAATTGCCTGTTCATGAGATGGCACTGAAGTTTTAGCATGGTGATTGGAAATGTGAGAGCCATTCTGAGAAGCCCTATTAGTGTCTGAATTTAAAGCAGAATGAATAACGGCATCTATATCCATTTTCTTTGATAATTCTTGGACCTGCCCACGATCTCTATTTTCTGGAAATATTTTTTTTTCTGTTGGTAACATTGCCAAATGTAAATCTTGTTTTGAGGCTGCTTTTTCATTGCCTGTAATGGCCTGTAAGGATTCTTCTACACATGTTATATTTCCAATGCCACGTTTCTCCCTGTCATGTGTCTTCCCAGGATTGTACATAGATATGGTTTCTTGCTTCTCCATTTCATCTACACGTACATTACAAATACCTAAACGTGATTCCTTTTCAAAATCATTGACATAGATTACACCTACTGTATCTCCTTGACAAAGGGCATAATGTGAATCATCATTTCTCCCTTCATGTGGATCAAACGCTGTTTCCTTTATCTCGATGGGCCTGTCACTTCGTGCTGTCTCTTGAGGTAGCTTAGCAATTATTGCTTTTTCTCTAGCAGACGTGCTTTCTAGAGTACTTTCTGATGTTGTCTTAATTATATAAGCTGTACCTGCTTCTGCTTTCTCAGTAATACCATGATCAGCTAGAGAAGACAATTCACAGCTCAGAGTTTCTTGGCAGGTAAACAATTCTTTTGTAGGAGTAGCTTTCAGACTCCTTGTATTATCTCTTTTTTCCCACATGTCTTCACAATCTGCTTGTTCTTTGATCTGCTCTGTTATATTTGTCTTACTCTCTCTTGGTTCCCCCTGACTTTCCAGAACATTCCAAATTTGTTTATGCTGTGTGTTCTTATTCTGATCTTTAGGATTAATCCAATCTGATTTTTCTTCTTCAACTTGGAAAAGATAAGGATTCCTCCAAACATGTCCATTTCTTGATGAACAACCTTGACCAGATGGCCCTCCTAAAGTAGTGCCTTCACTAGTTGAGAGATTACGCTCTGGGGTTGTTAAAACAGTTTCTTCCCAACTTAGATTTGTCCTTGGTGAATGAAGTGTATCTGATCTGATTGCCTGGGAGGGAATTGTGGTATCTTTACTGGGCAGAACAGTCAGGTCTTTGTTACTAGCTCCAATCCCTTCCACATTTATTTCAGAGTGGCCGATCTTCCTTGCTTGGTCATGTAAGATTGATTGAAAAGTTTTGCTTTGTTTTTCACTAACACCTAAATGTATTCTTTGCTCCTTCACCTCATTCTTACCATTGTCATAATCTTTCTTGGAAGATCCTTTTTCTATTGATTCTTCTGAATGGAAATCCAAGTGGAAATCTCCTCTTAAACGTTCCCAATCTTTTATTTCAATTTTCTTAGCTCCTCCTTCATGTTTTTTATTAAGGTTGTCTGCCATTAGGTGACCTGAGGCGGGACAATATATTTGTACTCTGCCTCTCCCTTGGGCTGGATTAGCATTATCATCCAGTACTTCTTTGCTGCCGATATGTAATTGCACTAATTCATCACTACTAGTCTCTCCCAATGATGGCGTGATTTCTCCCATATCTGAAGTAATTTCCTCTGAAGGTTGACGACTACACTCATTTCCTGAGGAACACTTTTCATTGTGGGAAAAATCTCCCTTTAAGGAGCTTTCTGCCGATGAACTTGGGGACAAAGGCCTTTTAAACAAGTCAGTGTATACTTCCCCATGGATTTGCTTCTTCTCTAACCCCTCGGCTTTATTTGGAAAATCAACTGGATGGGTTGAAAGTGTATTTTTTTCGTCTCTGGAAGTAGTACTTCTTATTAAGTGTTGATTTATCTTAAGGGATAAAAACAACAAAAAAATAATGACCAAATGATTTAAAATATACAAAATGAGTTAGATAGGTCTCACTAACTTGGCTAGTAATTATCTAGTAAATTTCCTTTACTCATTTCATTCGTGAATTTCATACAAATTCTGGAAGCCGGATGTTTTGGGGGGATCCTTGTAGGCTATGACTTGGGAATGAAATTAATAAGAAAAGGGGCCAAAATTAATCACTCCCCTTCCCAGCTTCCAAATATCACATTGTATTATTCAACTATTCTTGCTTGTCATTGCACTTTCTCCTCACTTAGGATATACACATTGATAGCTCCATGCTAATCAATTAGAGAGCAGCTTCCTGGGTGCCCCTTGCTACATTTATACTTGCTGTAGGTGCCCCTAGTACAGTTTCTCTTATTAATATGTTTTCTGCAAAGCCTCTGCAAACTATTAATAGCAAAACGTCACTCAAAGAAAAGTGAGGGAGTTAATGTCTCTGCAAATTCTGTTTTAATGACCCTCTGCCAACTGGTGCTCAAATGTATTTGAGCTCTTCAGTGATGCCAACTGTCAGAATTTAACAGTGAGATGCCTGTGTTTTTTTTTTTTCTCCACATAACTGACATTTGCATGATCTCAATAATTATATGCAAATCTTACGCTTTCCCCTTCTTCTCACATAAGGCTCATGTTACTTGTCAACTGCACAGCTGTCTTGTAAGCCAATGCCTGTGGGTTCCACAGATTTGGTTGTATTTCCATCTATTATAGAGCTTCATTGCTTTATGCATTAACGTCAGCATGGAGCAAATTAGCATCTAAATTACAGCTCCCTGTTCATTTATTGGACGTACAATCTCAGTAACTTCTAAACAAACTTTTATATTTGAGCCTGCTCATTGTAATGAGGTGTATTGGTGAAGTATGTGATTTTTCAGGACCGTTTCATTAAATTCTGTGGTTTGAAAAAAAATGGTGATGTTAACTTTCAGCTGGTGAGAATTCTCACAATGGGTGACAACTTTGTAGTTTCTTAAAGTTGGAGCAAAGTAAATTGCATACTTTAGTGATGCAGCTTCCATATCACTATAGAAAAGGTGGAATGTGTGGGGAAAGAGATGAGGTCTATTTCTTATCTGTTTCAGCACTGACACTTGAAGAGGCAAATGTCATTTTAATCTTAGATGATTATGAATCCATGTATCCTAATGATATGAGCGCCAACCAAATACAGTAAAGGATAAATTGCATTATGTGTCTCATTTACTCCTATTTCTTCCTTTGTGATAAAAATGCTATCTAAACCATCCCCCCCCTTCAAATTCCAAATAGATTGAATGTTCACCAAGTGTGAAATTTACCATAACAAATTTAATACTAAGTTGTACAGTACTGAGTTTGCTTCCTGTTTAAAAAATACAGCCCAGGCTATTTTCTCCGCATTTGGTAATTTAATCCTTCCCAATGATATAGAACTTTGAGAATCTCACAAAGATGGAAGTAAGTAAAAAAAAAAAAAATGCTGCTCAATGCAAGAATCAGATTTGTAGAGCTGGGCAGAACCCTAATAATCATCTAGTCCAGCCCTCTCATTTTACAGACGAGGTTATGCTAAGTGTACACTTGTCACAAAGATTAGAAATGCACATCAGGATAGTGCTACCTCTTCTGTCATTCCTACAAACTATTACTCAGAGCCGCTGGTAAAGAGATAAGAAATGAATGTCATTAATTTACCACTGCAGAGACCCGAAGCAACGTACTGAAATCAAAGTGCCTTGTTGATCAAGCTGGAGACAGAATAGGCTGTGCTTTCACATTTGCAAATTATATTAGTTGAAGCTATTGAAAGGCAGGCATTGCAGCGTCTTTGAAGCATAAATGGATTCATCTTCTCTAATACCGTGGCAACCAGAACACTTACCATCAACTCTAATTCTTTTTCATTATGCTCATCGTGTTCCCTGTTTACATCTTTTACGTTTTGATTACTGGTTTCCAAGTCTTCCTTGTCCTCATGAGAACAAACAATTGTTGGGATATAGGTATCTGAAAAGTTAATATAATTGTACCTTTGTAAAATTGTTATAATTGTAAGCTTTAACAAAAGAGACAGATTTTGTTTAAAAATTAAATAAGAAATATTACCTGTAATTTTTGAATTCTCAGAGTTATCCTCATCTGATGTTACTGATGATTCTTCTTTACTGTTAAATTTAAAACAAAAGGTTATACATTTTTCTGGGACTACATATTTTAAGTGTTTTTATAAGGGGAAACTTCAAACCAATAATAAGCCAAATAAATATAATATAACCTTTCATAGTTTCTTGCATTATTTTGTATATTTTTTAAATAAAATTGATCTCTTAAAATGATGCAACAGTAAATACAGTCGTAGAAAATTTTAAAAATAATTCACGCCACCTCATATTTCTAAATAATATTGTTATTCATATTAAAACTTATATAACCAAAGTAAAAATATATGTAAATGCAGATTATTCCATCACTCATGAATTTAATCTTTTCAAGTGAGGACACTTTTCTCTTGGTTTAAATGATAAAGTTTTATGAACTGACAGTCTATTTGTGGTCGTGGAAATTTCTTTCTAACGTTCCAATTATTAATTTCTTTGTATTCCATTTTATTCAAAATTCTTGCAGTTGGACTGACATAATATTAACTCTCTGTTCCCAGAAAAAAAGAAAAGAAAACAAACTTACTAAAAACTGAAAGGCAGGTAAATTTATATTCAGTTAAAAGATTTTGTATGTGTATTGCCAAAGGCCAATTTTATAACCAAGACTTCAGATCATTTATATGAAAGCTTATATTTTCTTTATTTAAAATGATTTGGATTATGCTCCCTTTTCTATTGTATTCTGCATACTGATTGAAAAAGATAAATAGTTTTTTCCTTCAAATGTAATCTGTTTGTAGTTGTATTTGTGGAATCACTAAAATTTGGATTTGTCCATGATGCTCAGCAGGAAAGATGTTGGTGAAAAAGCCCGCTTTGTGTATAGTTACGTCATAAGTCAGTCTGTTAGAAATGATTGGCCCAGTAGCCACATTTTATTGTACTGTCTCAGCTGAATTTTCTTCTAGTGACTTTTCTCAATGACCTTTTCTGCAATAAAAGAAATCTAGCAAGTTGGCAATGGCTGATAAATTTTTGTCATAGAATCTAGTCTTCACTGCAGGGACAATGTTGATCCAAATCCCAAAAATGCTAATCTTATTTTAACAAATCATAAGAAAATTGTGAATTCTTCCACCCTGATTACGTAAGAAGGTAATTCAGTTTTGTACATATTTATGACGCTTAATTTTAACTTTATCAAAACTATTTGGTACCTTCCAGTGGGTCCATAAATGAAAACAATGTGTCTACATAAATATAATTTCACTAGAAAAATATAGTATTTACATAATTGATACTGACTTAATCTATAAATCTATATTGTTTAATGAGGCCAATAACTATGCAAAGAATTATTTTTGTGGGATCCAATTGCAAGCTGACACATCTTCCCTTCTCCATGTACATAATGTCTATGTGGTTAAAAATATATAAACCATTAAACAGCCTTTAATAGTCCCTGCTTCCTCTTTATTCCTGTAATAATATTGAAAATTTAATTTTAGAGGGAAAATAATAGCCACTTAAAGCCTTTTGTTTTTACCTAACTAAAATGCTAGAAATCATTTTTCTACTTCAATCTCTAAAATAGTTCAATTTTTAAAAAACTATTGCATAAAAAAGAAGTAAATATGCTTTTAACTCATTTTGGGGGCAAATAATTAGGTAACAAACTGTGTATTACTATACTGGTGTCTTACAAAAACATGTAAATACAGAAATGTGGGTGGGGGAAATCTTAGATTCAGGGATAAATGCAAGAAAGAGAAGTTGAAATGGATAAAATTTAAATATTATATTAAAAATCTATGAAAAACACTAATAGAAGATGTGTGAGACACCTACAGGGAAAAGAATAAAGTTGTATCGAGAAATATTAAAGACCTAGAAAAATTGAGAAATATACCATGTTCATAGATAGGAAGAAGGTATTATGAAGATGTCAATTCTCTCCCAAATTGATCTAGAGATTCAATTCAATTCTAATCAAAATTCCAAAGAATTTTTTCACCAAATTTGAAAACATGATTCTAAAGAGAAAAATAAAGGGCTAAAGATAGCTGGGATATTGCTGAGAAATAGCAGAGCAGGGAGAAAATTCTCTACCTGATTTCAAGAGTTCTTATGAAAATTTAGTTATTAAGACCGTTATATTGGTACAAAGACAGACAAACTGACCAGCAAAAAAGGGTTGAGGACTTAGTAACAGATCCACACATATTTAGAACTTTGGTATATGACAAATGTAGCATGTCAGATAGCAGAGAAATAAGGGACTTTTCAGTAAATGGAGATAAGGAAAATGGCTACCCTTATGGGGAAAGATGAAATTGGTACAATGTGTATTCAAAAATCAACTCCAGACAGAATAAGATCTTAAATGTCAAAAACTTTCAAAATCTTAGCAGAAAATGTATGTGAATATCTTTCAGACCTCGGAGTAGGAAATATTGTCCTAAATAAGAAAAAAACTAGTGACTATTAAAAAAAAAAAGATTGCCAGTTTAACTCTATTAAAATTTAAAACTTTTCTTCATTAAAAGCCATCTTTATAAGGTAAAAATATAAATTACAAACTGGGAGAAGATGCTTGCATTACACAAAATCAACACAAATAAGTATCAAGAATATATTAAAAAATTCCTACAAATCAATAAGAAAGCATAAACATATCAATAGAATTGGGAGAGAGGGGCAGGCATTTCACAGAAGAGAAAATAAATGTAGCCAATAAGCACATAAAAGGATGACGGTATTATAAGAGAACAGAGAAATGCAAATCAAGACCACAAGGAGATACTATTTTATACCTATTTAAATTGATAAAAATTGCTATTGACTGCATAAACTTCAACCAACCCAAATGCCCACCAACAGAAGAGTAGATTCAAAACTATGGCATATCACAAAAAAGAATATTATATAGCACTCAAAATTAATAAACCACATAGACAAAAAACAATATGGATAAATCTTAGCAACATAATATTAAACTATGTTAATATTAAATATAAATATTAAAACTTACATCAGAGGATGTTCTCTTTTACAAGGCTAAAAATTACAAAAATAATTTAAATATATATATCAAGGAACACATAGAATATAATAAAAAGTTATATGAAAAGGAAAGCTTGATTTACAAGATTATGGTTACAGCAGGTGGCACAAGTTAGGGGGAAAGAATGAGGAAAGGAAATAGAAGCTGGTATTGTTTTCAGTGGTAGTTTGGCAGGTGCTTATTACATTATTTAAAATATCTAAATAGTTGAATTTTAGTTTCAGATAATTTATTAAGACAACTGGGTTGCTCTCTGGCCTAGATCAGAGGATGTCTATAGATAAAATCCCACTCTGGAATTCAAAATATTTGACATATGACCAGTTACTTCTAAAGAGTATAATGACAACAGCTTTAGAAAATATGAGGAAAAAGACAAAGATCTTGATGGTTGATGATGACGGGGTCCAGAATTATATACAATTGTGATACAAATGAAATGTATTATTGAGGGTTTCTAGTTCTCCCCTTTATGTTCCCTGAGTCCTTTGTGAGCACAGGAGTTTCTTATTTATCTGCATTCCCAGTGGCTAACACAATGCCTGACACATAATAGTGACATTAATGCTGCGGGGTAGATGGACAGCATCCTTTCTACTCTTTCCTTCTCTCCATCTCTTGTCAACATTATCATAACGTTGTTCTTTTCTTCTTTCCTCATTAAAATTTAATTTCAGAAAAGGTTCTAATTAATCAAAGCATGCATATTTTTGTATGTCTTGTAATGTTTAAAGCATCACCCCATCCAAAGTTCAGGACAATGCTTTTAATTATGGGTTTAAATAATTAAACAAAAGATTAAAAATCTTCTAATATAAATTTAGAAATTTAAAAGTCAAAAGGATATGTATTTTGTGGAGAAATAGTTCATTTCCAGCGTACTTTAAATCATATAACACAGTCATTTGTATTATTTAATCATAAGAAGGGTCATTCATTCTTCTAAGAGATATTTTGAACACCCACTATGTGCCATAAATCATAATCAGCACTGGGACATCAAAGATGAATAATCTATAGCTTCTTACCTCAAGGAAGCTATAATGTAATGATGGAAATAGACATATCAACAGGCAATTATTATAATAAGTGATACATATTATAGTAAATAATGGGATATGATAAATATTCTTTTAGAGAAAAAAGAGAGGACAGAAATGAGAAGCGCACTCTGTTGGGGGAATCAGGGAACTTTTCACAAAGGAAGTAACATTGTGAGTTAGGTTTTGGGGGAAGTAGGCGTTTCTCAACTAGAGAAGAATGGTAAGGTCACTTCAGGTGGAGAGAATAATGAGTGAACACAGATTCAAACATAAGAAAGCACAGAAGAAAGAGACTCATCCTGAAACAGTAAGATGTTCAGAGGGCATGGACTGTGTTTTGCGGAAAGAATGCCAAGGAACAGGCATTCTTTATTGAGTGCCCACAAATTTCCAAATGTTGTACTAGATCACCACAATAAACAAGACAGAGTCCCCACACAGCAACCGGGAACCAGATCTACTGAATCAGCATCTCTGGAGTGGGGAGTGGAAATCCTCAGAGATGTTTTAGGTGCACCAGTGTCTGGTCTAACTACACGTATAAAAGGGCAACAGGCAGACACTCTAGGACTCCAGGAAAGTGGTGCAGAAAGTGCCTCTTTGTGTCTCAGACTGTTTAGCAAGTCACAGCCAAGTATGTTAAGGACAGCTGCAGCCCTGTGCACAAAAGAAAATAATTGTTTATGTATCACACATATACCTAGAAAAGAAGAAATACATTGAAGACTAGACCAGTCTGTGTGCCTTACAGAATAAAATGCTGAAACACTGATGAGGTAGGAATTGAAAGGTATTTGTAACCTATCTAATAAATTTCTAAGCAAACAATAACTTGTGTTTCTGAGTCAGCTGGTAATCACTCAAAAATTGAGTCCTACAGACTTTCTACCTCTGAGTCTCATGTAACTTAAAGAAAATTTATTTTACCTTTTATGTCTAATTCCTCGAATTCATAG